TTTATTTTGAAAATAACATATTCTACCCTTTGCTAAATCCCACCCTTAATAAGAGTGTGGCAGGCCAAAGATTCTTAAAGGAACCGCTGCAGGCCTGACACCTTGCTTAACTCTGCTCGAGTGATCATCAAGTTAGACTAAATGAGGCACGTGGTTCTCCCGCCTCCTGCTGTAGAGGGCACTTTTTCAGAGGCTTTTTTAAACAGTTAAGCACTAAGCAGAGTCATCCACTGTGACTCTGGCAGCAACTACCTTGGATGAGAAGGGAAATGTCTTCTTGGATGAGAAGGGAAATGTCTTCAAGGGAAAACAAAGTCCAGAAGCTTCTTGGATGAGAAGGGAAACATCTTCAAAGGAAAACAAAGTCCAGTTGCCTTTTGAAAAAAGCACCTTTGGGATAACCATGACCTGAGTGACCGAGAATCTCCATAGATAAATCAATTGAAGTTATTTTAAAGCACAGAGCTATCCCATTTCTAGCAGCTAAACTGCTGAAAATGGGTGATTCTGTGACAATACCCAAAATTTTCTATAATGTAGTTGAATCTGTTAATAGGAAGAAAGTAAAGTTCAAGAAAAGCTCTTAAAGAGAATGTTGAAATGCATTGTTAGCAAGTCAGGATTTATTTTATCTAGGCTTTTCCATCTTGGGTGAGAATTTTAGTTATAGTTAGTTAACTGTCCCTTTGATGTCAGTGGCTAGGATTGTATGTAGAATTTAGTTTTAGATTTTCAAGTATTGAAGGTAGATGGAATGAGAGGGACGCCTCCAACCATTTTTATTGTAAACTGCTGCCTAAAAATCAACATAAGATGTCAATACAAGAATCAGGGTTATGGACTAGTTCAATATTTTTAAAAGCTTTTAATTATGCAGTATAGCTTTCACTTTGGCACTGGACAACATCCTAATTTGATACAAAGGTCAATTCCATTACTCTAATACATCAAATATATTTTATAGGAAATAAAACATGAAGGAGCACCATTTTATATAAATATAATTAATATTTTTATATTTATTCCCTGCAGATGGTTTGTGAAACGCTAGAAAATCAAAAAGGCATGGTCGATAAACTTGTTGCAGACACACAAGTATTGGAGAAGCATATTTCTGCTGAAAAATCAAACCTATACAAGCAAGAATTGAAATGTTTACAAGGATATAGGGATAAATTAAAACTAAAGATTTCTAAACATGTTCACTTATTGGAAGAAACTGTTTCCAAATTGAGGACATATGAGGTAACTAGAAATATATTTTGTTTAATTACTTGCTTGTAAGTATAATATTCCTCTTTCTCAAATTAATTTATATTCTGCAGCAAGCTATAATTTAGTATCTGTTTATATGATTTCAAATGGTATATAATTATATGAGTCAATCATTCTGCAGCCAGAAGTGATTGCAGTGTGATGGGAAAAATAGTAATAATATACCGCCTTGTTCAGCGGAGAATCAATCTAAAAAGCAAATAAGCAGAAATAAATTGTTTTAGTAGCTTCTTCTTGAGAAAGTTTAAAATTTTGTATCTAGTTGGTAACAATGAATGTTGTTAATGCCTGTAAATATATAATTTAAACTTGATGTAAAAGTCTCCAGTTATTGTATGTATATACTTATTTTTCTTTATCCGTTATGACAATTCTTTATGCTAAGGTTAATGAAAGATGGCCTGAATGGTTTCCAACTACTGTTTAGTTGAGAAAATGAGGCTTGATTTATTACCTGACATTTAAAACATTTATTTCCTGCATGATTGTTTTCTTCTCTCTGCTGAGGAATGGCAATGAATATTAACTGTTTCTGTAAAGCAGGGGTCATGCAGGCAGTGTAATGAGAGAATGGATAATAGATTAAAATAATGATCCAACACCTTTCTTGGCTAGTTGGCATATTTGCAATTATGAAAACATGTCATTGGTGCAATCCAATGTTCCAGAAGTCCAGAGCTTCTGGATTCACATAGTACTAGGCACCCTTGATAATAGTGTAATATTAATCATTTGACCTCTGGATATACAGTATTTCCTAAGAAAGAACTAATATGGTGGCTATTTTTATTTTTGAAGGATATATGTGAAGGAGCTCACAGGGCACTCAGAGGTGTTATTTGAAGCGAAGTTCAATGGACTATTTGCGAGATCATATAATCTCATATAATCATATAAACTGAAGAATTTGTCTCTCATCAGCTTGGTGGGATGAAGATATTAGTAGATATGGAAGTTATGAAACATCAAAGGAAATAGTGGCCAGAGAGAATAAGAATAAACACCTTTGAGTTTGAGAATCAGAAAAAAAATATTTTGCTAAGGACAATACATGGAAAAGGAAAATGGAAACCAACAGGAGAACCATATGACAGTCACGATATTAACTATTAGTGGGGTAAACTAGAAACCTAGAAGCAAATGGTACAATAACATTTTGACCAGAGATGGTCTTCAGCCTGTTCGGACCGCTTCACCCGAACCGGTAGCGGAAATTGTGGGTGGACCTACCGACCTGTCCACCCATTCCAATTCTATGTCGTTCTATTTAGGCACATTTTTGAGTGGTGCATGCGCAGAAGGTGCACGCGTGAGCAAAGTGCATGCACGGAAGGCTGGGCACATGCGTAGAAGTGGTATGATGTGGGCACATGTTGGCGGGGTGAACCAGTGGTAACAAAATGTGAGAAACACCGCTGATTCTGACAATATTTAGAAGGGATGAATAAATCCAAGGGTGGGTTTTCAAGAACAGGAAAAATGTTTCTTAAATGAAATTGAGTCAAAAGGGGAAAAATAAAAGATTAATTTTGGAGAGTCCAGAGCTAATGGTCCAGGAGTAGTATTTAACCTTTTAATACCATGTAAATGTTAGTCAGTATATAAAGACCTCCATTCTAAAAATAGAGAAAATAGTATGTTCCATCAGTTTTGGACACACTTCATAAATAAATTAGCTGAAAAATAATAATTGGAGATAGAGCTAAGAATATAAGAACTGGACGAACAAGGCAGAACATGTCAATATGATCACATAATCATTGGGGGAAAAAAAAGAAAACCACTCTTAAATTCCATCGGTAGCATTTCTAAAAGGGTGAGATCCTACAATAGCCTAAAATAGATCAGAATTGAATTCTAAATGTGAATGTTAGTGAACTCAAAATGTACTGTTCTGGTGCATGTCTGAAGCCTTAGCTGTTGTTTGAGATATAACAATAGCCCTGGACTCTACCTGCATGCACTCTATGTCCTTGTATTCTGGAACCTGCACTGCTTTTCAGAGGAACTCCAGGAGATGAATTGGCATAAGAAATGCCCATAATCCTGCTGAAAGAAAACAGTGAAACTGATAAAGTTTGAGTGAGAACCTTTCTTAAGGATGGCAGTAAAAGCAGACAAGCACAGTAATTTTTCTGTCTTTATTACATTTATGGCAAACTACCATGTTTCCCTGAAAATAAGACAGAGTCTAATTTTCTTTTGACCCCCAAATAAGTGCTTGGCCTTATTTTGGGGGAGGTCTTATTATTTTTGAGGTGCAGGAAGAGGTGAGTGT